ACACACACACACACACACACACACACACACACATATATATTAAAACACACACACACACATAAGCACACACACATGTTACCACACACACACATAGAACAGTGCCTACAGTATTTTTATCACAGTACTAACATACAATGTTGACAAATAAAAAACAAAAACTACCTTTTCTCTGTGTGTGCAAGACAAAAATTAACAGGCTTTAACGCTTTGCCGCCTTATCTCACTCACCGATTGGCGATGTTTACCACCCAGTTTCTTTGGATTTTCCCCAAAATATGATGGCAAAGAGTTTAGTTGATACCAATAACGACAAATGCCCAAAGTCTGACGAGCACCTGATTCCACCGAGTCGTGACACACACAGCATAGACATTACCGTCAGTAACTATTTTTAAAAAATCAAACAGCAACTACTTTCGACACAGACTAAAAATGTAGACAAACACTAAACAAAGATTATCAGCTGCTTAGACAGGACACAAAATGTAGACATATTATTTTTGCCATTGTGGTGAAATCGAGGAAATCAACATTTTTTCCAGCCGTTGGGTAATTTTAAAATTGAATAGTAACAACACGGAACTTCCCCTAATGTGTCCCTTGTGTGACTATGCATATGAGACTGTGGATCATCACCTGTTCCACTGCACAGCCCTAAATGACATCAGAGCTACCCTTCTCCCTCCGAGACCTAGCAGTGACAACACACTCTATGGAACATTACAGCAACTGCAGCAAACCTGCACTTATCACTACATGGCATTGGACAGAAGGGCAAGAGCCCAGCTGTTGCTGGATCGATAACAACAACAACAACAATGATAGTAACAACACAAACATTATCATCCAATCAACAAAGAGCTCCCACTAATCTGCCATGGTGGTAGCCATTTTTTTTTCAACCCTTCCGGTAATTTTTCAAATCTAATAATAACATTTGTTCACCCACTGGGTAATTTTCAATCTAGTAATAACAACAACACAAACATTATCATCCAATCAACTAAGAGCGCACGCTAATCTGCGACCGTGGTTGCGATGGAACTCTTTCTCGTCCCCGGTCCCCGCAGTTTCAGTCCCAGAGGTCCTTTCGCCGCGATGCTCTTCCTGGGCGACATGGGGGCCTTGGGCTGGCCCATCTGCATCCCGATGTTCTGTAGGCTGCCTCGCAGGTTCTTCCCCTTTGCCTGTCGGG